CAGGGAGGCAGGTATGAGGCAAAAAGGTGCATGGATGAGATGGGAAGATGCAATGGAACGGAGGCTCACATGGTCTGACATCTGGCAAGCAGAGCTGCAGTGCAAGAAATTCTTAATCCAAGCTGTCTTTGATGATTTACCAATCCCAGCAAACCTCCAGCTCTGGGGCAAGGCTGATACTCCTTCCTGCTCCCTCTCTAATGTCACTAGAACACATCCTGAGCTGCAGCCCAAAGGCCCTTGACCAGGTTCTAAAGGCAGTCGCGGAGAGTGTCACCTTGGCCATTGCAAGCAGCAAGTACCATCACTGTGCTAGGAAGGAAATACAGTTTGTGAAAGCAGGAGAGCAGCCAACACTGCAGCACAAAGCTCCAGCAGGCTTTCTTCATTCAGCATGGGACTGGCAGCTTTTGGTTGACCTGGAGAAGCAGCTGAAATTCCCAGCACACATTACAGTACCGAGAGAGGGGTTGGAGAGCTCGTGGTTACCCTGTGGAGGTTGGATGCAGGGGCTTTGCTGGCCGCTCCTTCTACAGAGCATTCACTGTGCTGGGGTTGAGTGGGCCCAAGAGGAGAGCAGCCATTAGACTTGCAACAGAGGATGCAGAAAGAGCTTCAAGTTGGCTGTGGATAAAAAGGGGTGATCTGTGGCTTAAACGCTGCTGGGACGCAGGTCGGGGCTTGATCAACCCCAACTGGGTCACCTGGGTTGAGGGTGCATGATGTTGAAAGACCCGAAACACTGGATGAACCCAGGAAACATCACTGATGTTGCGAATCAGCGCATCTGTAGGATGTATATTTCACCACATATATATTCAATAATATATTCAAATTCACATTTTAAAATATTTTACTGTATTTTTGATCAACAAAAATGCAACCTTGATGAGCATAAGAGACATCTTTTAAATACATAAAAAAATCTTACCAACCCCAAAATTCTGAATAATAGTGCTTTTTTTGCTTTAAATAATATACATTGTTAAATCTTCCAAAATGACACCAGGGGTATTAAGAAAATAAGATTTTTTTATTTCAGTTATTTGTCTTTTTTTTTTTTTTCATATTACATGTGCACTGTTTTATAAGGTTTCCTGTTTGTGTTTTGTACCATATCTTTCAGAAGCAGTTAAAGGAGTCAGGAAAACCCTGGGTGCACTTGAGAGACTGAGAGAGAGCAGACGTACCTACTGTACAGAATATGTCTCTATCCCCCACTTTCCTTAAGTATAGAGTACTGCATGTTTCCAAGGCAACTACAGACACTGCCCGCTGTTCAACACTAGTTCCTTGATTCCTCAGTACAAGTGCACAGGGTCTCATATTTGTACAGTGCCTCAGGTGTCTTATGACATCAGGAATTTTGAAATAGTACATGCATGTATATGAAGACCTATAAGGTGTTTATATATATATAATGTATCATATTTATATGTATTTACTGGCATGAACCATTCCTGTCACCGACGCCTTACTCCTAAAATTGTCCATACTGGGCCATATAAATTTAACAATGGTAAAATTCTCTGACCAAATCCTCTGCTCGCTTTTCTCTGTCATGGATGGACTTAACAAATTAATTAACAAATTAAATTATCTTAACGGTTAGTTCCTGCCAATAACTGATATTGAACTGACAACAATATTGAAATGCTCACTCATGCCAGTATATTGTTGCAGTTTGTTCATTGCTTTTATTATTTTCTGACCAAAAAAAAAAGGGAACTATCCGTCCTTATGTTGCTCAGGACATTCCATGTCAGGAATATAGGAAAGCTCTTAAGGCCTGTTCACACCAAGCACGATAATAATGTATCATAATGAGATAACCTCAGTAATGAGTAACATAGTGGCCTTAATCATTGTGTACTACCTCCCCTCTGCCAGTCTGCCAACAGTGCCGAGATAGTTCACATTGGCCTTGAATTCTCCTCTTTATCTTTCTTATATCTTTCATATGCATACTTTCTCTCTCAGAACATTCAAGAAGAACATTATGTGAAAGTCATAGTAATTGAACCATATTTAAATATAGAATTTGTGTTTTGTGTACATTTTGGATCTTGGACTACGTGTCATACACTAGTACTTGTAGTGCTTGTCATGGCATGACCCGTAAAGGAATTAATTAATGCAATCATTTTTCCTATTAAATATAATTATATTGTCTTCAATGATTCCCTAGTTGCAAAAAAAAATGCAGTTTTAAGATTGCAATAAATGACTTCCATTATTGTTGATTGGTTCATTTGAATAAGTGTGAAGGTTGCCATTGGAATCTTCGTGTGCACACAAAAGTGGCTTGAGAACCCATGAAAAGTGGGTCTTGGTCCGCTTATAAAAAAACTCTGATACGGTTCGACTGATATATGAACCCAATAAGGACCAAAGACATCTAAATGAAGCAAAAACAGGACATGATGTCACAAGGTACGCCCCTAAAAAAGACAGAATGCTTAAGCGTTCTTGCTGGTAGCTATGATACTCGTTAACACAACTTAAATAAATGCATGGTTGCAAGTTAAACATTTTAATTTATTGATTTAATTAAACCTTTGCAAACATTATTTTGTTGAGTTCAGTTTACATAATGTTGATCATTACATTAAATTGATATTGTGTGTAATTTAAACTCAAAGTTCTGTGTTAATTGAGTTTCTTTAAAGATTATGTTGTAGTAAATTAATGAAATTGTATTGTTAAATTTGGGAATAGCATGCTTTAGGACTGGATAAGTAGAGTAAATTATTTTCTGTGTTTTTTAGTAAAGGGAAAGCCCTTATAGTGTTTAATGCTGTTATGTTTATGTTTCTGTAATGTTTTTGTGATTACCATTGTGCTGGAGTAGACCACATGAAGGTAAACGCTACACTGATGCTAAGCAATGATTGTGCTAATGCCAGTGACAAGTAATCTTACTTGTTCATTAAATATACATGCTATATAAGTTACATTTAGCATGTGCTATGATAGCTGTGGATTTTAACTGAAATAGATAAGATTCATTGATTCCAGAGCTACTACTCGAGTAGGCTGGAAAATAATGTAATTCCAAGTTGTCATAACTCAAAATATTGATGCAAACTTTTATTATTATTATTATTATTATTATTATTAGAAAATTAGAGAACACACGCTTAAAACTGTGGTTTTGTGGATAAAAAGGGTCACATTGCAGGCCCGGTTAGAAACAGGATATTGGCGAAACAAGTTTGTGTTTCAAGAGGGTCTAGCTGCAGCCTCGCACTTGCATTCTCAGACTTGCATTCCCAGACTTGCACTCTCAGACACTTGCGCTTCCGCTAGCGACGTCACTTGCAGTCTTTTATTTTTTTATTTTGTTCTATTTATTGATTACTTTTTGTTTGAATCGCTCAACATTTTACAACAGTAGCCAGGTGGTGAAGACAAGAAAAAAGAAACTAAATTACGAAGTCACTTGCAATCGCCACTTGCACTCTCCGATACCTGCGACGTCACTTGCAATCGACACAAATGGTGTGTGTTGCCAATGGAGACAAGACGCTGTGGTGATTAAATTATTAAAACTAATTTAGTACTATAACATACAGGGTCCTGCAAGAAAAAGACAAGACCCGCAAATCCGTCACCACAGAACAGCAGAATATGAACGCATGCGCAAAGTCTCTCGTTAAGCGTTTTCCTCCTGTAGAAAAACATAAACACTTAACATGGCGTAATGTATTAAGATACATTAAGTTCAATTAAAAGATAAAATTCGATATATAGTTATTATTTAATGTACTACAAGGCAAACAGATGGCTATGAACACAATGCGCAAACTTTCACTTGTCCTCCCATACAGCAAAACGCTTAATCTTGTATAATAATGGACTATGATAAAGACAATACAGTAGCCGTACAGGCAAGCAGACGAGCCCAGAATGCAATGCGTTAAATTGCACGTTAAACATTTTCCTCCTATAGAAAATCATTATAAATAAAACACGTAATGAACAAAATAATAAAAAATAGAACAAAATAAAAAATAAAGCCTGCAAGTGACGTCGCTAGCGGAAGCGCAAGTGTCTGAGAGTGCAAGTGCGAGGCTTCAGCCAGACCCTTCTCTTGTGTTTGTGCTCAGGAGAGCATCAGCGTGTTTTTGCAGCGTTGAGCAATGTAACCAATCAGAGACATATCTGTTGATTTCTTGAACGCAATGGCCAATCAGAAGTGTTTACGTTAGTCAGAATTCACTCACCCGGTGGTGTTTTGTTCAGTGCTGAGCCCGAGTTGTGCAGGGCGCGAATCCTCTCATCATAAGTGTAGACACGATGTTAGAAGTAATAGATTCATTGATTTTTTTTTTTTATACCTTCGTGAAATGAAACTGAAATGAGTCTTGGTGAGTATAAATAAGGGAGCGCTCTTTGCATGCTTTCTTGGCTAGCAGGATATAAACCATTCAGAATTTTAATAAAATGTAGCTTTTCATGCTACTAAGAGGACCAACAGCCACGTATAGGCCGCAAAGTTTCAGGAAATTGCAATGACTGACACATGGTCATAACAATGGACAGGACAAAAATATCTAGTCAAAATAGATGTGCATTAAGGGTAGAGCACCCTCTCTAATTTTAGAAGCACCCTTGGTGATTTGATTCTGTAATCGGGTCTGTCACATTGGCTGCCTTCACATCGTCAGTGTTTAATAACAGGTGTGACTCAAATTGACCTGTGCATACAGCAAGGAACCAATTGAGTAATATCTGCATGAACAGAGTAGATGCAGACATGAGGATCAGATGATTGTGATCAGGTAGATTGAACCCTTTATTTAGCTGCGTGCCAATGCCACAGTATTTTTATTTGTATGCTATGCGTTATTTTAATAATCTGTTGTTAAAAGTGTTGTTATCTGCATTATATATTACTATAAATGAGGCTACACATAGCATAATATATCAGCAGAGCAAGAGTCAATCTTATATTAAAAAGCAAAATCATGAGACCGTTTTGTTCTTCAAATATATAATCTTAGTTCAGTCATACAGATATATACATTGTGTAATAAATAATATTTATAAAAACATAACATTTTCAGATTATAAAATAAAAAGGGAATTATGAACTTTTAAAGGCTTTGTACAAAACTTTGGATATAGCGGAAGGAGAAATGGAAAAGGGAGCAAAGATGTGACTGGTGAGAGGGCTCCTTAGGGATCGTGTGAATGTGAAACTAGCATTGCGTAGTTAAACTTAATTAATGGGAAGCGTATGGGACTGTCAGAACATGTCCTATGGAAACCTCCGCTAGTCTGCTGCAGCTTTGTGAAGCTGGTCTTTCTTTCACACACTCGAACCCACAGCAGTCCTCCACTTGCAACACACTCTCATGACAATTTGCAAGTTGGTGGATACTTCGTATAAATTTGTACGATCTTCGTACGATTTCATACAATCTGCTTATGCCACAATGACGGTTAGGTTTAGGGATGGACCCTCATTCTTTCTTTTTTCTAAAAATCGAACGTTTTCCTACGCATCAAACCGTACGAATTAATACAAAATTGCCACCTCGCAAAATTGTTGCGTTTTTTTTTAATTAAACTGGCTTGCCACTTCCCTCCTTTATTACCCTCCTGTTTCTTTCCTTAACTATCCTCTTCCTGCTCACTTGTTCTCCTTCCTCTACGCAAACTTCTCATCAGGGAAGTGTTGAAACGGAGCCTTCACAGTCATATACGAGGAGCTTTATCAAAAAGATTATGTTAAAAAATAATCATTGTAATCTCTAGAATTAGTATACTCATTAGTAGTTTTGTAAGTGCAAATTTTACTGGTCGGGTGCACGTGAGCCTAGTGTGTGTCGTCGCATTCTGCTGTCATGCATTTCAGCAGCTGTCCTGCACTCATCCAGGAGAGTTACCGATAGCTTTGCATGTACATGTTCTGCAAAAAAACAAACAAAAAAAAAACTTTTGAAATTCGGAAGGTAGGCTACCCATGATGCCTTTTCCTGTTTGTACCGCCCACAGCATTCTACGCTAATATATCAATTGCATCCCTCCAAACTGCTGTATAAAGCAAATTACCAGAGTTTTTACGTAGAAAAGAGAAATATGTTCCATGATTTGAACATGTATGATTATAGGGAATATGGTAGGAGTGAACAATATGTCCTTGGATTGGGAAACCTCAGGAGATCATGAGGGAAAACATGGGCATTGCATTGGATTCAGTAGTATAGCAGGGCATATTTCGAGACCCAGCGTTCAGTAGTTAACCGAGAGTTTCTCATCATCCTCTCCCCCCTCCTCTTGTTCTTTAATGCATGCCTAGTGTCATTGGTTGTATTTGAACATATCCTGTTTCGGCCCCTGGGCAGTAGTGCGAGATGATCAGAGAGATGGTGTTACAGATAAAGGAGACTGAATGATAACAAGGAATTTTTTTCTTTTGCAGAAATAATGAGTGCCACAAAAAAAGAGTGAGAGGAATGGCAGTAGTAACCATGATGCTCACAATGGGCATCTTTTGGGGCGTGTAGATCAAAAAGGGCACATTAGTAAAGGGTTCTACCACAGAAGTGCCACTATCTTGTGTGTGTTCTCAGTCTCTCCGTCTCTTTCTCTCTCTTTCCATCCTTTAATGTCCACCAGTCCTTTTCTTCCCGCACTTATTTACATGTGTGCACATCGTAGACCCTCACACACTCCTGGCAGCTGACGTAGCAACACCAGTGGAAGATGCAGTGGCATTTCTCCTTGCGCTTTTCTGTCCGTGTATTATGGCCACGGCCACAGCATAACAAGTCGCAGCCCTCGATGCCGTGCGACGATACATTGCAGACGCGGTCGCGGGTGCCAAACGAGCCCGTCTCTGGGTTCGGCTCACAGAAGTTGGGTGATCCCTCGTAGTATACCAGGTCTCGTTCTGTGGGGTGCTTGAAGAAGGCGTATTTGGCGCGTAGGGTTTCCACCCAGCCTCTGGACTCCCGGTGTTTCTCCACCAACATCTCGGAAGCACTGTCGTACTTGTCTTTCAGGTAGTCCCCCAACAGCCTGAAGTCAGGCTGAGCCCACCAACAGGTCTTGACTTCGCAGCTGCCTGACAGTCCATGGCACTTACAGCGCAGGTGCATGTTTTCCAGGATGGTCTGAAAAAGAGAAAACATTGGAAATTGGTATTAGTTTGCTGTTATCTATCAAGGACCATTTAAAATGATTGTGATTTAGCCACTTAAAAGGCCAGTTGCATTTCTTATTATTTCTCTGCCAGATACTTTTCTTTTATCCATTTATCAACAGCCAACAGTAAGCAAATTTTGCATGAAATGTTGCTTTCTGTTTGAAGAACTATAGCATATAAGCAGTATCCAAATTGCAGTCATGCTGCATATGATTCTAAATATCATCGCTCCAATTACCTGCTATATTCAACTTCTGGCTTATGTCCAGACAGCTATCTTTTATTGCCTAAATATTGCCTGTGTTGTCACACTGTCCTTTCTAAAGCAGATTTTTAAATCAGGATCTACATAAGACTCCAACAACCTGGACTGCAACTTCTTCTGCATGCTCTCAGGCCACAGGTGTTGTTCAGGTGCTGAGTGTGCAGACAGGCCCTTGCATTTCTCGGCTAATTCTCTTCTGAAGTCCCGCTTAATGGAGTTCGCCACAGGCACTATATGTCTTTGTTTTGGTTTGTTTGCCTTAATTCACTTGCTATATTTAGCTTCAGAATTCCCCAGCTGTGGCGGAAGGCAGGTGTTTGCAGGTCCCTTGGGGTCTAGTTGGGGCCGCTGACATCATGTCCCGAACTCTTTGGGCCCTGGGCGGGTCCCTCAAGCTGTGTCGAAACAATGGAGTACACGAGGGTCCTGCCAGGGCCGACTGTCTCAGTGCCTGCTCCTGTGGTCCCTCGCTGATCAAAGCGGCGTTCTGTTGCAGTGTGGTCTCGCCTTTTGCCCCTTAAGCACCTTTAGCGCAAAGACTCCAAGTCATGACAGCAGCAGTGACGGGCTAAACCCTGAACCCCAGTGTTATTCTTCCCTCCCTGCCTTCTGCAAACCACCAACTGAGTGTCACGGATTCAGTACAGATGCACCGTATGAGAGGCATGAAAGGATAAGAGAGGTAATTACCCAGTAATTTCTCACGAAAATACCAGTTTTAAAGTTGAAAGTCTCTCGGAAAAGGGATCAGGAGATATTTGACAGATCTGCGGAGCATTAACACCTTTGTGAACTGTCGGGTAGGACCCACCCAGGAGCGGCACAAGTACAGCTTTGTTCTTTGTTTGGCTATCATGAACCTGCTGGCTTAAAGGTGAAGTGTGTAATTTCTGTGGTACTACTGGAATCACAATCTGTTTCAATGGTCCGACTGGGACAAAAACAACATTTTGCTCAGCCAATCATGTGAATTTGGGGCTGAACTAACTGTTTGTCCGAGCAATGAAAAATGGAGTATGTGAAAGCAGCAATTATTTTGCATTTCTGTTTGGTATGGTGTGCAAATTACACACTTTACCTAAAGTGATTTCACAGATATGGTGTTTTCTCAGCTTTTCTCTTTTCACGTTACATATGTCTCCCTTCGTCATGTAAAGAGTGGACACGGTATTAAGTTTCAAAACTGTGACGATCATATCCATTGGTGCTAAGTATAAGGATATTATATATACAGTATATATATATATAAGGATACTTAAATAAAGAAATACACAATAAGGCTTTAAGTATGTAGATACTTAAATAAAGAAATGCACAATAAGGCTTTAAGTATGTAGACACCAAAATGTCATACCTTGGAATTAATTGGGGTCAAAAGTTATATCTAAGAAGGTGTCCACTACAAGGTAGTCAAAAAATTGGGGGTCAGAAGATTTTTTTAAATTATTATTTTGAAAGAAGCCTCTTATGTTCACCAAGGCTGCATTTTGTTCAAAAACACAATAAAACAGTAATATTGTGAAATATGATGATATTTTCAAATAGGTTTTACATTTTAATATATATTTGAATTAGTTTATTCCCGTGATTGCAAAGCTGAATTTTCAGCATCATTACTCCAGTGTCACATGATCTTTCAGAAATCATTCTAATATGTTGATTTGCTAGTTAAGAAATGTTTCTTATTATTATGAATGTTGAAATTTTTTTTTGAAGTGACACTTTTTTTCAGGATTTTTTGATTTTTGTTATTAATTAAAAAGAACAGAATTTATCTGAAATAGAAATCTTCTGTAATTTTATGAATTTCTTTACTGTATTTTTTGATGAAGTTAATACGCCAATACCCCAAACCTTTGAATGTAGCGTACATACAGAATTGTTCATAAAAATAGCATAGAATATTTTCCATCAACATTATATTTGAAATCAGTTAGAAAGATCATGAGTCTCTTACCATCCGTCCTGCCTCATTGTTGTGTCTGTTCATGGCACTCCGAGCATCTGGTCGGTTCTCACGAGCGTCTGCAAACTCTCGAGACACCAAAACCCCAAACTCTGCATCTTCACTGCAGCCACCCCACTTCCATCCCTCTCCCGGCGGGCCTTTATGATGGGAGTCACAGCCACACATTGTGGAGGTCCCCTCTGCACATGAACGGGTCACTGCAAACGCCACTCCAGCTGACGCAATCGCATGAACAAATCCAGACTCTCTTGTGGCTAAAGAGAAGAAAGAGATTTTTTTTTAAATGACATTTGAGTAAACATTTCTTCATGTTATGGCTATAAGTTTTCCTTGCTCTGACAGACACATGTCCTTCTCCAAAACCTAGAGAGTTGCTTAGTTATGTTGCCTTTTAAAGGGATAGTTCACTTTTCTTCTGTGGAACATAGAGATGCTATTTTGAGAAAAAGGTTTTCACAAGTGTTTTACCTGTATTTTAAGTGACACCTTGAATTGTGTTATGTTTTATAGTTAAAAGAAATGTCTGTAAATGTAACAGATAATGTCCTGGCTGAGATTTAACAGTACGTATTCTAATTAAAAAAAAAAAATTACTGATTTTTTTTTTCTTACAGTGTAAGTCATACAAGTTTGGAACAACATGAGAGTGAGTAAATGATGGAATTTTAATTTGTGGGTGAAAAACAGCATTGTGCGTATTATTATTGGAGAAGGCAGTCCCAGAATTCATTGCAATGACCTCGGACAAAGTGTGAGACATATTTATTGCAAATAAAGTCATATTTCTTTTACTACCAAAACGTATCAATAAAAGTAGTTAATTATTACTAATAATAGATTATTTTACCCAATGATTTTGAATGCACTATATATTTATGCTTATTGCAATACAGCTGACTCTTCAAAACTTTTCAAGAGTCTCCAGTGCTGTACTCATGGCACATGGTGTTGCTGCATATCTAGAGAATTCCAAATCAGTAATTTCTGGTACCATAACAGTTAGGATGCTGCCTAGTTATGAAGTCCCTGTATTTAGACAGCGAGACAGTTCACTCTGTTTTGGAACTATCATGGAATCTATCATGTGGCTCTTGTAAAAGGTTTGAAGGAGATCCCTGCCTCTTTAACTGTGGCCCTCCCAAAAGTCTCTCATCTATCTGTGCTGTGACTTCAGGGCATGGATCATTTTCTGTGATGAGCTCTGGAATATACTGACGAGGTGTTTGAGTGCTGCGCTGTAAACGTCTCTGACAGCACCGGGACGATTGTTGATCATGTCACTTGTGGCTAATGCAGCCTGAGGTTTCACTGACGCTGTGTCATCTCAAAGGTGTGCTGGTTTCTCTCTGGATAATGTTTCGGGAGCCCCCCTCCCGTCCCCATTCTCCCAACCGTCCAAGTCCCGCGGCCACGTGTGTGAAAGCCAGCAATAAGTCTGCGTGTTTGGTTTCTGAAGGCATGTTCTGAGAGATGGAGTTACGCCCCCTTTGAATGCAACAGCTTATTATGTAACCAGACACCATCGTTTCACAATCGCAGCACACTTACTGTGGCTCACCAGTTCTCTTGGTCCCTACAGGAAAAACTGCTACCCAACCACCCCATATGACTACATCACCCCAAACATTTAAGTGCCTCTAATGACAGTGGTTCTCAGACCGAGTTTGTCAGGGATCAGTAAGGCCTATAATGGTGTAAGATGATCTAAAGGAGTGCCCACACACATGGAATATGCTGGTGTATTGTGGGTAATGTGTGACCAAAACAAAGCGCCTTTTCACAATGTTGTGTTTAGATGATGGATGTCATGGTAACGTGTTATCATTCTAGTACAATCATTTTGTAATTCTGTCCAGCACTCTCCAGCGTTTCACAATCGCAGCACACTTACTGTGGCTCACCAGTTCTCTTGGTCCCTACAGGAAAAACTGCTACCCAACCACCCCATATGACTACATCACCCCAAACATTTAAGTGCCTCTAATGACAGTGGTTCTCAGACCGAGTTTGTCAGGGATCAGTAAGGCCTATAATGGTGTAAGATGATCTAAAGGAGTGCCCACACACATGGAATATGCTGGTGTATTGTGGGTAATGTGTGACCAAAACAAAGCGCCTTTTCACAATGTTGTGTTTAGATGATGGATGTCATGGTAACGTGTTATCATTCTAGTACAATCATTTTGTAATTCTGTCCAGCACTCTCCAGCATTCTTTTTTTCCTTTTTGTCCTCCTGAGCAAAATCTTGGATGTATTTTGATGTTTCATCTGTTTTTGCTCATGCAGTAAAAGTCATTGGGTTTCAAAATATCATTGGACACCACTGACTAATTGTGGGGAGGGGGTGGGAGGTGAACTATCCCTTTAAATCCCATAATACACTGAAACAAGCTCAGTGAAAAAGAAATCCATAATGGTGGATAAGGCAAGAAAAAAAATATTTATAATGAATGTCATTCAATACAAATTGTTTAATTTACCATTTTTTGTGTGTGCTGTATATTTTAATACTTGGTTGTGGTGTATTTTGCCCTTAGGTTAGCAACATGCTAATGGCAAACTATTGAAATGCGAGTCAAGCTGTAGTGCACTTAATTGTAGTAGTAGAAATTTCCTTTTCAGTCGATTATTACATTCCATGACAGTTAGGACGCTTTCTTAGAAGGGAGTTGCCTATGTAGACAGTAGTAAGGTAGCTTACTAGGCTTTGGAATTCTGACCTGCTAACCACAACTGTCAAAAGCAACAATCAAAATTGTGATTTTTTAGTAAATGTTTACTAGTTTTGAAGTCATCTACCCTGTGTCTGAATATACCTACTATAGTAGGCATTAAACAGTATGTGAATTCATTAAATAATTTATGAGTAAAATATCTGGATGACTTACTACTTTGACAGATTCTGAAGTGCACATCCAATGTCATAAGTCACAATACAAAACCAACATGGCATATGTAGTGTGCCTGGAGTTCATTCATACTACACGTTCATACTATATAGAACATATATTTTTTAACACTTGCAGAGCTCATTCCTTATCCTCAGTATGAGTTTTCAAACTCAACTACTGTATATGTTAGTGTAGTCCTGAAAAACGAACAAAATTAGCATTTAGCAGATATCCACATTTAAAACTTTCAGTCGTTCTCTTCCAGGAAAATAGTGATGACTCATTCTGCACTACACAGATTTTTGTCCAGTCAGATGCTCTTTAGAATGAGAATGTCACTCCTACATCTACAACTGATTAGCAAGTAGCAAATTATGGTTCATGAGTGTGACGTAACTAAAGCCGTATGCTATTGAGGCTAATCCTTTTGAATATGTCCCTCTCAAACTTCCTGTTTCGACAGGAAATGCATAAACACTGGAGCAAAAACTGTGTTTGACAAGCGTTTCACAAGTCATTATGGACGTTTGATGCCGTCTAGCTGTTTCTTATGAATTTGCAGACTCATCTCACCCCTGGTATTCTTGTTTTATTCTTGCAGGAAGTTCATGTCTGCACACATATACAAGCAGTCCTTTTTAATAAAGGTTGCGTTTGGGCGCGCACCTCTCTGGGTTTGCGGCCAGAAGGAGGCCCAGTTGGTTCTGGCAGGCCCAGCTGGGTTCACCACAACAGAGAACTGTGAGCTCTGGGCCCCAGGAGCCCTGGCCAAGGGCCAAGAAGAGCGCAGCTCCCGCTACCTGCTGGGTCCATGAATCCGCCTTTGTCTCTGTGTTGTCACACCGTATTACCCACACAAAAGGGCCCAGCACCCCGCACCCCATAGCCCAGTTCAGCGCTGCCCAGAGCAGGGGCTGGCATCCCAAAAGGAGCACCCCCCCACCTCCTGTGACACACATACACAAAACACACATACATCTCATCCCAGCCACTATGCCAAAATATTCCTAAGCGTTTAAATAAAGAAAATCCAGTGAGGACCAATCAGCCCAATCCGAACGCAAGCAGAGAACCTTCTTCCTTATCTTCACCTCGTACTGTCCGTCTCCTTCATCATCTCCTCATCCCCCTCTTGAGTTCCCCCTGCCTTCCACCTCTCTTCCTTCATGATGGGGAAGGATGGGAGATTCCCTTTCAGCCTGCTTTCATGACACAGTCAAAAGGGCGTGTGAATGGGGCGTCCGTGGGAGCCGGGCAGTAAGAGGAACACAGGGATGGCTCATACTGGCCTTCATGCACAGTAGGGGTCGAAGTGAACCCTCTAGCCCTTTTCTATTGCTTGTAATCTCATTTGGTCTCTCTTCTCTTTTTCTCTCTCTGTCTCTCCCTCACTCACTGCCTGTTCCTGCCCAGGTCCTGCACTGCAGCTAACTGCTTTAGCATCTTAACCGTCCAGCATGTATAGGTATGTCCCAGTTTGTGTACCCAGTTCGTGTACTGCTTATACCCGGATGATGCACTTATTTAACTGAAAAAATGAAACATGGAATGTTGGACACTTAGTGTGCTCAACTTTCATAGCTTTCCTTATGTAGCCGAGGGGCTATCAGACTCCGATGCTGTATGACAAAATAACCTTCTAAAATTCATACACTAGATGGTAGAATATATAGTGCATAGAAAAAGTGCATTTGAAACACAGCTTATGTGAATTTTGTGAGGGACAGACCTATTAGGGTGCTTTCTGTCATGACTGAGAACCAATGTTCTGTTACATCAATTTATTTAAGAAGTGATTTTAGTAAAGTTGTCCTTGTGCGCTTCACCTCAACCATTCACATCTAGAGTATCAGAAAATTTATGGACAACCCAACAAATGTAACTTCAATCAAATATAGCAAGATGTGCATAGAAATTGAAAATGTTACACTACTACATGGACTGTTTTCCATGAATCGCTTGATTTTCATTGACATATTTTCAATTGAAAAAGGAAGTTTGGGTGGGACATATCAAAGGAATTGTTCATTTTTATACTGACTGAAGTGGCAAATCAATTTGGCTGATGAAAATACTAATTTAATAATAAAAAAAAAAAACTTTATACCTGGTACTAAACATTAAAAAAAAATGCATAAACATGTATTAATTTAATGTCAAAATATATAAGATTTAATTAAAAAGAAATTCAACCAGTGAAAACTGTCCTTGTGAAAACATTAGCTAAAATATGACTTTTAGGTAATATTAATATTAGCTAAACTACAGGATTTAAATGTATTTTAATGTATAAATCTACTCTAATTTAAATGTATGTGTTTTGGAGACTATTTTACGATGCTGACTTACATGTAGCTTGTTGTTCTGAAAACAGAATGTTACACATTCTGACTAGCGTGGTTCCTTGTGATTTTGTTTTATTGTCCGTGCTGTTATACAGTAAATTGTACTATTATATTTATGCTGCGGATATCGCTAATTCATCTCATATGTGTAGGATCTGTTTGAGTAATTAATTATCGCACTGAAGTGGTTCAGTTTAAAGCGTGCAGCTATTTTAGCTAAAGTGGAGTAATCCCCAATATACTATGATTACATTATTTAAAACATTTTTCTAAAAACATTATAAAGTCATTAATATCTTGCAGTGTTACTTTTCTCATCATATTTTTCGCAACAGTATTTTTAATACTAGTAATACTAGTAATAATAGCACATAGACCAGTGATCCTCAAATCTGGCTCGCAAGATCCACTTTCCTGCAGAGTTTAGCTCCAACCCTATAATCAAACAAACCTACCTGTGTTTTTCTAATGATCCTGAAGACATTGATTAGCTAACTCAGGTGTGTTTGATTATGGTAGAGCTAAACTCTGCAGGAAAGTGGATCTCACGAGCCAGATTTGAGGATCACTGACATAGACTAAAAGCAGTTTCGATATGTATAGAATTGAATTATTTTCTGTAATTGCAATTTAAATACTATACATTTTGTAGACATTTTGTGTGTTGTTAACCCATACCTTTATCAAGTACAGGTCCAAATATTGCTAGATTGTCCTTGATAGTGGTGCAGTTCCACCTGCGGCCTCGGAACTGGTGCTGACACTCCTGGATTCCCAATTTGACACCCTCTGCTACACTGGGCATGATCTCGATGTAATTGCGGCAAAAGCGCAGTTGTTTTGGCACCAAACCAGGTATGGAGCCACACAGGATGGGTTGGGAGCCTAGGGATGAGTACTGCTGCCCAAGGGCCAGGGACCTGAAACACAAGTGTGAAGATTAAAGCCAACTCTGGGCACACCTAAGATATAAGTCTTCCGATGGAGTACAGTTAATTCATAGTGATTATGTAATCGAATCATTTACTTAATGTGTATTTTTGTCACGATTATTATGGTTTGTATAGTTTACATGTTCACTTTAGTATTAGATGTTGATTGGAGGTTAGTGTTGAAAGTTGTGATCTAGTCAGTTATTATAGTTATTATATACTTCTCGTATATGACCACTTATATCCACTGCAAGATTTTGTGTGTGTGTGTGTTAGAACATTTATGTCTTTGCTGATCTGGTTTTTAACCCAAATCTCTCTCTCTCTCTCTCTCTGTGTGTCATTAGATATCCTTGTTTTGACATGCATACTTTATTAATACTGTAGGTGTAACCCTCTTTTAGCTCTCATTGCTGTTTATTGCTTTTTTTTTTTTTGAATGTGTGTGTGTGTCATTGTCTCTTTGATAACATATGCAGAACACACACGCTCTGTCTTGAGCTGTAATAAGTCAAATATTCAGTGTTATAAATCCTGTGACGTTTGGAAAAGATTCAGTTGTACAGCAGAGGAATCTATTAGCAGTTCTGTCCTCATTTTCTCACAGACGATGCTATAATACATATCTGCATGAACCTCTGAACCCAGTGACACCTAATCTGTAAAATGTTGCAGTCTGTAAAAAGCATTTAAAAATGTATAAAACAAAAGTTCAGACTCTAAATTGTGACCATATGAGCCGATGTAAAAAGACATTGGAAAATGCAAGTACTGTAAGTGCAAACTTCTGACTACACATTCTACATTCTATATTAATGCAGCAAGCTGTTATATTGCCTGGCAACCACTAAAAAGCCCACAGTTTGGATAATAAACTATACTATTTTGCAGAAGAATTGTTTATTCTGAGTAAATCAAACAAACTTTTATCATATTGCCATAGCTGACTTTTTTTTTTTAACTATACATTTCAGGTTAAAGTCACAATGAAAGAGAAGTAGTGACAGATCTTTTCTACCATATTGTGAAGTACATCAGAGTGAAACAGTTTACTGAAAAAGAAAAAAAAATGTATGGTGGGGACTTAATTCTGTCCATCCGTTGTTGATTGGATGGAGGCAGATCTGAATGTGGGTTTGCTGTCTATAGTAAGAAATGGGCAGAATTTCTGTTTGGCTTTTCCAAACAGAGTGGATTTTCTGTTTCCCGAAAGTGCTTGTTAACGTTATCACATTGTTCTAAAATGTCCTGGCTTTGCTCACACAGTGTATAACAACTTTTTCAACCATTTCCCCCCCTCCTTGTTACACTTGTTTTGTTCCCAGTCAAAATGACCGGCCTACAAAAATATGCTTATAATTTTTTTGCTATTCCATTTTATTACCAAATATTGGATTCAGTTTTTTTTTATCAACAACGCACTAGATAGCTGGCCAATCAGAGCACACCTTGCTTTTCAGACCGATGAGCTTTGTAAAAATCGACGCGTTTCAGAAAGGCGGGGCATAGAGGAGAAACAATAATGTACAGTATGTGAAAAATAATGTGTTTTTTAACCTTAAACTGCATAAACACATTTCATTACTCCAAATACACAAAATAACGTTATTTTTAGCAACATCCTATGACCCCTTTAAGAACTTCTATGAATTCACACATTTCAATACACAAAATAACGTTATTTTTAGCAACATCCTATGACCCCTTTAAGAACTTCTATGAATTCTATGAATTCTTTAAAGGGAATTCTCAATAAAAGCATCTCTACATTATTCCATGCTTTTATGATGAGATATGCTGCCTGACAGCGCTGACATAGATGCTGTCTTGTGGGCCAGAGGTTTACCTGGTTCCTCCTTCGGGCCAGTGGAGGATCACACATTTTAGAGATCAGCCGCTCACGATGACCTCAGGCCCCCCGCGGGGTGCAACCCTATCACAGCGCCAGTCTCTCTGACAGATGAGTGTACTACTGCACCCCTCACACACAAAAGCACCAGCATTGAAGTCAGAAGAGAAAAATCCCCCTCAGAGCTTCTTGGCTTCTCTTTTGCTCTCCTCCCTCGCTCCAGTCGCACATTCTCTCTGTTTGATGTTGTGGGAAATCATGAACACAGAGCTGGGAGATGTTAACGGGTTGCCAGGTATCAGAGGAGGTGTGAGAGGTGAGTCTTTGTATCAGAGGAGCCGAGAGTCTTATGTCGAGATTACTTGTGCATCTTGCTGCCTTTGATGCATCATATGGGTGCGTCACCGCACTGTCAACTTTGTCAGGGAGTTGACGTCATAACGCTGATGTTTGTGTCCGTTTGGAGGTGAAAGTGGAAGCGTTCAAACAGCTGAGACAGTACATGTCTCTCCATTATGTAATATTTAATTCTAAAGGCTCCCTAATGTCCACACAATATTTGAAGGCCCCACATATTTACTCTGGTATTTCTGTTGTATTATAACAGCATTATTTGAAACTCCAAAAACTGGCAGTGCAAAACATTAAATTAATTAAAGAAGATTCAAGATTCTGATTCTGCATGTTTTATAATATAAACAGTAGTTATTGAGGCCTGGGCCTCAAAGCGCACGTACAATCAGATTTGTTCCTAAATTTCATATCAGTGTTAAAAGAGAGGAACAAATTGTTTTTATGCATACGCCAGCTGAAGAGCATGTGTACAAAGTTTTTGTGTGCATATAACAGTAATTAAAATAATCCAACATTGTTTATTAAAATGTAAAAATAAATAGACAATCACAATATGCAATAATATTGTTATATGTGCAAATGAGCAGCTGCTTTGTGATAATTACTTTGCTGAAATAAAGTCATTAATAATATATGACTTCCTGAAAAAAAAGTAAAATAAAAATATATACATGTACATACAGTATACATGCATGAAGGGATATATATCTGTGGACATTCTGTTGATGCACTTGTTCACATTGCACTTCAATATAAGATGAACTACAATTTATAAAGTGGGATGCAAGTGTGAAATCTTTAGTGCGAATGGACGTTTTACAAAATGTTGTAGAAACATTTCAGAAATTGTTGTACTTTTACATTTAGGATCATTATAACCATGTCTTTATATGACCATGTCTTTATAAGATTTATAATTTTTTTCTTGAATCTTATTTCTGAGTGTGTGTGTGTGTGTGTGTGTGTGTTTAGTATTTTAATTAAGTGTTAATTGATTGTGAACCACTGTCTTGAAGGGATAATTCAACCAACAAAGAAATGTATGACTTTGGTTCATCTCTGGGACATTAAAGAAAATATTTTGAAACACCTTTTTTGATCCCACGGTAACACTTTATAATAAGGTTCCATTTGTTACTATATTTAATGCATTAACTAACAATGAGCTATTGATTTGTTACAGCATTTATTCATCTTTATTTACGTTAATTAATAAAAATACAACTGTTCAATGTTAGTTCATGTTAGCTCAGATTCATTAACTAACATTAATAGGTACAGCTTTTGATTTTAATAATGTATTAGTAAATGTTTGAATCAACATTAACTAAGATGAAATAAATGCTTTATAAGTATTTTTCATTGTTAGTAGTTAACTAATGTTAACACATGGAACCTTAAAGTGTTACCGTCTACACAATGAAAGTCGTCAACATTTGGACCCCATTGACTTCCATGAATCTTATTTCTGAGTGTGTGTGTGTGTGTGTGTGTGTGTTTAGTATTTTAATTAAGTGTTAATTGATTGTGAACCACTGTCTTGAAGGGATAATTCAACCAACAAAGAAATGTATGACTTTGGTTCATCTCTGGGACATTAAAGAAAATATTTTGAAACACCTTTTTTGATCCCACGGTAACACTTTATAATAAGGTTCCATTTGTTACTATATTTAATGCATTAACTAACAATGAGCTATTGATTTGTTACAGCATTTATTCATCTTTATTTACGTTAATTAATAAAAATACAACTGTTCAATGTTAGTTCATGTTAGCTCAGATTCATTAACTAACATTAATAGGTACAGCTTTTGATTTTAATAATGTATTAGTAAATGTTTGAATCAACATTAACTAAGATGAAATAAATGCTTTATAAGTATTTTTCATTGTTAGTAGTTAACTAATGTTAACACATGGAACCTTAAAGTGTTACCGTCTACACAATGAAAGTCGTCAACATTTGGACCCCATTGACTTCCATTGTTTAAAAAAACAAACAAACTGAGATGTTAATATATATATACAGTATATATATATATATATATATATATATATATATATATATCTTTTGTGTCCCACATAAGAAAGTTTTGGAATGACATGAGGGTGAATAAATGATGACAGAATTTTTTGGGGGTGTACTTTCACTTAAAGGAAGAGCAGTGAAACTAGTGCCTGTTCTTTTTTTGCCTGTATTTATTACCATAATTCCATCCAAGAAGCCATGGCTACAGTATGACATCTTTTCTAGTGTGTCATTCATTTACTCCACCATGTATTATTCCTATCAGCTTGGATTATTATTTTCGAAGTGTCTGAGAGAAACCCTGGCCCCTTACATAGGAACTTACTGGAAGTGGAGCCTGTTTTTCTGCTGTGTTTGCTGAGTGAGTAAATTACATAATTACACATCTGCTTGCAGCATAGCTGTCCATTAATCTCTCACCCATGTGGATGATTAGTGTGTTGGTGTGTTGTGTTGAATTGTGGATCAGCCTGTCTCTGCCCTTGACAGTGTCTATGTATGAGGTAGAAGCTCTAATTAGATATGGATGTGTTTTTGATTAATTTAACCGCATGCTTTGATACAGACTCGAGCGTGCTTTCATTGCATGCTTCACGTCCTCAGTGATCTGTGGTTTGTTTGGTTGTGATCTGCACCATTGACTCTGAAGTGGACGAGAAGAGGAACGCGTCAGTGTGGGGGGATCGCAAACACATAAATACGCACCAAAACTGTTTCGAGGAATGAAGGGTGTGGCGACACAACCGAGTGAGG